TACTTCCCTGCTTTCTGCCTGCTTATTGGATTGCTAATGGTCAGTGCCAGGATGATGCCCACCCAATACCTGAGCACTACAAACTGAAAACACAATTTACTTCATTTTTAATATGCAGATCAAAAAAGTGAAAAAAAATTACTTTGAAACCCCCCTAGCATTTCTAGCCATAGCCATCTTGAGTAAGGGCAGAAGGTTTATGTAGCATTTACTTCCTGGAATCTGTGCTTAGCTGAAAAAGCCTGTCTTCCTCACTTCCCGATGACAGAAAAAAAATGCCCATGAAGACTCTTGGGATGTATGACTTCCTTTTAGCCTCGGCCAGAAACCAGGAAGCAATTGATGAATGTAAAAAAAAAAAAAAAGTTTAAAACAAGTAAATATATTATACCTTCCTATCTATATACCAAGGCTAGCAGCATGAGGATTAAAATAGTTAATGTTTAATAAGAGAGTTTAGTTCTGTTTTGAGCACCTCTCATCCATCACACTTAGAGATAGGAAGACCTGGACTAAATGTAAAAATTGGGTAAATAACAGGCTTTTTTCAGTTTTTTCAAAGCTGTTTGTTGTTTTTTTTCAGGAAAAATTGAAAAAAAGAAGCGTGGAATATGTTCTATTACAATAATAAATAATATATCTATTACATGTGTAGCACTACCCCCTTAGGAGTCGCTGAGTTATTTTTGGGCTCCCTGTTGTTCTGGACCCCTCTCTAGAAGCCCAACCCCTGACTGACACGACAGTACTCTTCTGACCAGAGTAAATTATCACCAGAAAATAGACTCACACAAAGATTGGAGTGAACTGATATGATGTTTATATTAAACTTGGATGTAAGTACTGTCAAACAGCATAAAGTGGTGTACAGTAATGACAATTACCACTCTTAGTAACTCAAAGCAAAGAAAACAAGACATACAGAAAAATCTCAATCAGTGTTGGTTGGCCTGCTGCTCAGAAATTAGCTCAAAACCTCAAACCTGAGGTGCTTCTAGTCCCCAGTGAGCAAGGAAACTATTAAAGGTGAAACTAGCTCACCTTGGGCCCTCAGGATCTGATGTCAAGTTTCAAATCTGAAATATAAAGGAGCTCCTTTAATTAGGGTAGTCAATGTCCCTTAAAATTCAGTGAGGAATCTTCTGCATGCTTGTTGGGGCCCAGTTGGTGAACTACAATCATTCAGAATTTTTAAGTTGGAAAAGATGAAAGTGGCAGTCCCTCAAAGGATTAATACAAGGGAAAAAAAAGGAAGAACAGATACATTTTAGGTGGCACTTGACTTGGGCGGTGTTCCTTTAATGCACTCATCAGGTTTGCAAACTCTAGGCAAAAATGTGTCAGAAAAACTTGCTGGCAAAGGGCAACTCCACTCTGGGCTGCAGTAACTAATGACAATTTTGGTAGATGCTCCCTTAAGAGGGTAGGCCGATAGTTAAGTGAACAATGATGTGATTTGGCTCCCAGAAGATGTGCACTGCGGTCCACTGTAATGATTGAACTGTTCTGCAAATGTGTTCAATGGTAGCAGCTGTAGGAACTAGGCGGCAACATGTGCTAACTCAATGCAATGTCTGCAACTGTGTGCAGGGAAGTGACAGATTAGAAAGGAATGTCAGTGTTCACTTTTTTGGCTGGTGTATGGGACTCTCTCATCTGATCTGTGGCTTCCAGCAGGTCCTGATGGTCTCTCTGTTAGCGGATGAGGGCCCCCAGCGGTTCTTCAATCCCCACTGCAGCTCTCAGTCTGGTCACAGCACTCTGCCAACAGGATGTCTCTCTCTCTCTAGGCTGGAGAAGCTGGCCTGGTCCAGTACTCTGGTGGCCCACACAGCTCTCTCTCTCCACTTCTGCTCTCCAGCTCTCTCCACTCTCACTTCCTGTTCAATCTATCGGGCTTCTGTATCAGTCCCCGCCCCAAGCTAGCTCCTCTGGGAAATGTAGTCCTCTGACACTCCCTTCTCTAACAAAGTCCTGCGATGCAGCATACAAAGTCCATGAGGCTTTTTTCTCCCCCCAGAGTATGAGTGCCACTAACCTGCAGGACACAAGTTTTCCCAGCTGAAGACAAGCAAATCTTGGAATACAATTCAAATAACACTGTACTCAATGTAGTTCTCAAACATGAGAAGCATGCATTTATGCCGCTAGGGGGCACTGCAGGGGAAAGGCTCCAGTTTAGTTTGCTTGTAGGCTTCACCTTGCACCTCCTACAGTTCGATGATTGTCAAGACACAGTAGATGATAGTTTCTGTCCTCTCAGGCCTTAATTAACAGGTATGCCAGAGATGTCCTAAAGACATTAAAAAAAATATTTTATGGTACATGTCTCCAACACAAGGCCCAAGGGCCGAATCTGGCCCGCCAAGCCATTTCATGCGGCCCTTGACACTCTCCTGCATCTGTGGCACCCCCCTCATCTCCACCCTCACCTTGTCTCCGAAGTCTGCAGCAGAGAGGACAGAATACCTCTGTCAGATCCTGCATTTCTCTGTTCAACCACGGAAAGGCTCATCTCGACACCCCCCACCCCACTGGTCTCAGCAGTCAACAGCAGTGAGGAGAACAGAACTCCACCTACAGATCCCACACCTTTCTATGCAGTCTCAGAACCTCTTCGTCTCTGCCTCCCCTGATTTTAGCATTCAGCAGATTTTGGCAGCTGTCTCCTGCCCTCCTCTTGTCCTCCTCCAGACCCTGCACTTTCTGCTTCCCAAGTCCCCCAGCTTCCTCCCTGCAGCAGCACAAGGTAAATGGGGTGCAGTGTGATGTAAGGGTAGGTGGAGAAATCCTGACTTCTGATGGTGAGGGGGCTCTTGACATCTGATGTAAGGCTGAGTGGATTGATCTGGACATCTAGTCTTACAGATACAACCGGCCCTTTGAGTGGAACCATAATACTGATGCGATTGAGTTTGACACCCCTGAAAATCAGCGGAACATTGATCAAGCTCTTTCAACAGCAGTATATGCTTTTGAATCAGCATTGTCATGTCTTCTGTATACTCGAAATATTCTTAACATATACAGTCCTTGTTATTCCATTTATAATAAAAAAATAAATAAATAAAAGCAAGTTCAGTTTATTTACTGAATAAGCTTTACTTTTATTTCAAGCATAATACTTTTATATACACCAAATTTTATGTTGCTTGTCACAACAAACTACTCCACACTAATTTTTTTTTTCAATTTTTCAGAAAATTTCCATTTTTTTTACGAAAAAAAAAGGGAAAAAAAATTGTGCCTTGATTTTAACTTTTAGCTGTCAACTCTGTGTTAAAACAGATTCCAGGTATATGTTTGCTAGCTGAACTGAAGAATCATTTTAGAATTAATGGGCCTTGTTTGATTTTTCAGAGAAGTGTTCTCTAAAAGAAATTAGTTTCAGTGTATCCCTAGCATCGATGTATCATCAGCCATAATTAGCTCAGACTCTTGAACTGACATGACACGGCATATTAATGGGTATAAGTAAGCTGATGTAAGATTTCTGTCTCAGCATTAATGTAACCAGCAGCTATGTGACCCTATATTTGGGAACAACTGAAAATATCACTCCAATTCATCACCAACAACATGCTGGAAAAAATGCAGTGTAGGAGAGTTGGTAACTGAATATTTATTATTGAATATCCATGGCGTGCGGAACAACTTCCAAGTGTTGCTTTGGAAAAGAGTTCTTTAAAGTGACACTTTCATACTGCTGTGACCCGAAAGTAGTGCAACGTGCTTGCGATTTCCTGGCAACTTCCTTGTGACTTTTTTGCAAAATTTGAGTTTTTAACATTGCAGTCTATGGAGTTTAAGTCGCACCAAAGTCGCGGAAAAGTAGTACAGGAACCTTCAGTCTCATTGATTAAGATGGCGACCATTGAAATTATTGTGTTTTGACTTGTCATCCGACTGTATGTTTCGCAACAGAAACAAGATATACCTATGCTCAAATCCCAATGGTTTGTACATGCATTTATCTATCAGGTGCTAAAGAGATGTAACCACATGTCAACACTGAAAATCCAGGGTTACTTTGACGCAGTTGGCCAGCTCAAACATGTATTGCAATATGTGTGAACTATAAATCCCTATTTTTATTGCAAAGTTTGCTGGAAAGGTTATATAGCAGTGTGCAGAGGGTTCTTCTTGGATTTTTATGTGTTGCAAGTTGCATGATAAGTCGCAGCAGTGTGAACTGAGGCTAAACAATATCCTTATTCTCCATAAATAATGCACATCCACTACTTAATGGCTGTGTGATCTATTCTTTCATGAAATGTTTATTACTGGAGAGAGAGTCACTTGGAAGATTGGAAGAAGGCTGCTATTCTGTCCTTGGACTTGTGATTACAGACACTGAGAGGCCTTGAGGACTTGGTGTGCTTTGCTACCCCTCTGGTGCTTGATAGTCAGCGTGGGTCTGAGAAAAGGGAGCACTGGTTGGTGTTCTGAAGAGCTTGTCCAATGGTTGCTACTGCATAGGACTTTGCTCAGTTATATTGCTTCTGGACTGCCACAGTCTGCCATAACAGGCTTGTACCTGAGGAGCTCAGCCCTGCAACTACTACTACCACTAAAGGGACTTTGCTCACTCCTAAACTACTTGTTGCTACAATTTCATAGAGGAGTCTCCTATTTACTTTTAGCCAGAACTTTAAAAGTACTCAAATAAGAGATCAGCTAGATGTCCTCAGTGTGAATAATTCTAATTTTGGAGTATCCTGCTAAATTTGCCATCACTATCCCCAGTTCTACAATAAAACTTCAAAAATAAACATCCCCTAGACTGGTCATTGAAGGCAATGATCAAAAGAGTGTGTGTACCTGGCTGTGGAAAATACTTGGTGCATGGCTGCGGGGCGAAACAAGGGGGAAACCTGGGCAAAAATACAGGCGGCCCTCACGAGTGTGGCACTACACAGTGTAGATAGAGTAGGATTAGAATAGGAGTAGGAGGAGATTTAGATATAGTTAGGTTTTGACCAGGGGCGGACTGACAACTCATGGGGCCCCCAGGCAATAGGGGATCATGGGACCCCTGTGTCCTTGCCCAAACTCAAAAAAGCCTATGAAAATGGTACCGGGGCATCTCATGGGGCCCCCTACAGACCCCGGGCCCTCGAGTTTCCAAATGGTCAGTCCGCCCCTGGTTTTGACTTGCCTCCTACTTGAAGAATACATACTTGAATAGAATTTTATTTTCGTAACCTCCCTAGCGGTCTGATTATGTCAGTATTTCTGTGCTCAAAAATGTTTTTGATTAGAAATATGTATTTTTTTTATTGTAGGCTGTAATTTTTAGGAATAACTCACTGAAATCTGTCCGAACAAGAGTCTAGTAAACATCCCGGGTATGTTAAAATTTGAAACACAAAATCATAAATTATAATTTAATAAATAATCATAAAAAATAATAATATAATAATAATACATTTAATTCAATAATATAATCAAACCAAAAACACTGAAATTTGAAATATAGCGCCAAGTTCGCACATCACTGAGCTCAGTCGCAGAATCGTTTTCAGTGTCTGATGACGAATTTCCCCCACGAATCATTATCACTCAATTCTGCAAGTGGTTCTGATTTACTATCGCTGTTCTCTAGCTGGTCTAAAACTGCTTTTGACCTAAAGGGACGCTTTTTGGACGCCATGGACATTTCTCAGTTTGCAGGCAGAAAGAACAGTAAAAATGCAGGCAGGGCACAGGACAAAGCACTCGGGACAAAATGTATGTGAAATGGTTTGATACAGTAATGTTTTACTATGTGATTTTAGTGTATTTAGTGAATGTCACTTTTTCACATTTTTTAAATTTCCCGCCGTTCCATCCCCCGTATGTCCTGACATCGCAGGGAACGGAAACCAGAAGACAGATGCCGGCATCGGCCGGAGGACATTGCCGGGGACACTGCAGGAGGGACATCGCAGGAGCACAGGACAAGGTAAGAGAAGAAGAGATCCCGGAGCAGCGCTGCAGGGTATTCCCGAGTATAGCTCGGGGGTTACCGCTTGTGGTGCTGAAACTTTACCCCGAGCTCCACTCGGGAATACCTCCAGGGAGGTTAAACCAGAGCTCAGTATCTCTTTAATGCATTAGAAGTATACAGAGAGGGAACACCTAGTACTTAAAGCTCATTCCCATCATCTATTTGCTGTAACATGGTAACGTGGCCACAGGAACTATATTTTGGCTGTGCAGCAGTCCAAAATGCAAAAAGTGTGTATTGCTGAGCTTTGCATTATTCTGTAATACATGTCCTTCTCAGGTGTGTTATTCAGAATGGGATGTTATTCAGAATGAATGCACTGCAGCACACCATTGCATTTAAAGTATGTTTCTGTGCATTGCAGTAACACGTTCCAGCCATCAGACCCGTAAAATATATCTATTGCCCAAACCTAATTTTTAGAGTGTAGAGAAGGGAAGGATTAGAACCCTAACCAATTGTTTGCCATTACATTCTCATTGGGAAGATTGTCCTTCACTTCCAGGAAGTAGGACAGAAAGTGAGAGATCTCTCGAAATTGAGGGTTAATTCACTCATAAACAGTTGTCACTGGGACAGGTGTTTCGTATATCATAAACGTGCAGCACTGTAAACTCATGAAACATAAATATCTTCTATCATACTCGAATATATAAAGTGCATATATAAAGTGCAAACAAGTGCAATCACATAAATCACTGAGAGTCCGTGACGACCACAAATATTATACAGCAGGCAGTGAAAATTACTAATGTCCTTTATCCAAGTGTGCGTTTATTGATGAAGAGAATCCACCACCTCGGATGGATGCACACTCACCAGACTGCAAGTTAATCAGCGCATCTGTTTATATCACACATCTGGGGGTATAATGACAGCTCCGGATTTTACTCCTGCAGCTCCCTTCATCCATCAGTTGGGACAGGTGTCATCTAATCTTGATCCTGACCACCAGGCTGAGGCCGCTAAATTCAGATGTGGAGACTTTGATTATAACACACTAAACAATCGCTGGATAAAGTGATGCTGCCTCTTACAGGTGTTTCAATTGGAAGATTTTGCCTCTACTGCTGTTTTACTGATGACAGTAGACGTTTAGAAATTTCCACCAATTTTTAAAGCTGAACTCCAGGAAAACTAAAACTTCTTCCCTGCAGTGGGGTTGAAAATCTTTTTAAATTGAGGGGGTATCCCCATCTTACACAGTTGTCACTGGAACAGGTGTCCCCTTTGGAAGATTTCTCCTTACATTGTTTTCTGGTGGCATCTAATAGAGCGTAAGCTCTCTAGTATAGAATTGTATTGTAACTGTACTATCTCCCATCACTTTGTAAAGTGATGCATAAACTGTTGGCACCAGAGGCATTGATAAGGTGGGGGGATAAGGGAGCCCAAACCTCCCCAGAGCATCCATGGTGCAGCAGTTAGATCTGACACCCACTGCGCACCCAAAGCACTCAGCCACTCCTGCTCCCTATCAGGTCTTAGATTAGTGTTTCTGAACTAGAGTGCCGTGATATTATAGCCAGTATGCCCTGGATCAGCATCATCAGTTGCCATGCTGCAGGCGTGCCTGCCATCAGCAACATACCAACCAATAATGTTCTCTATCCCAGGAGGCATGGTATCATTAGTTGCTATGATGATGTTGGACAGCTCACTCACTCCATAGCAATTCACGACTCTGATCCAGGGCAGGTGGCTTGCAGGGCTCCCCATAGCATTCAGAAGAAGACATAAAAATCTGCCTCCTCCACCTCTTGTCCTCTGTAGTACTGCTAGAGCCAAAAGGTAGGGCTTCTCTGTGAAAAGGGGACTGTGAGGGAATGTTGAGGGGGATCTGTACTGAGGGGAGCTGTTATTAAGGGAGGAAGGAGATCTGTACTTGGGGGGACTGTACTAAGGGGAGATCGGTACTAGTGGGGACCTGTACTGGGGGTTTCTGTACTTTGGATGGGGATCTATATAGAGACATCTTTACACGGGGGGGGATACATACTGGGGGGAAAATCTGTACAGGAGGAATTTGTATTGGGGGTAGAGATCTATACTGGTTTTTAAATTCTCACCCCCGTGCTCTTTGTTCACTATGCACCCCTGACCCCTGCACTCTGTGTGTTATGCTCACTTAACGCCCATGCTCTGTGCGTTATGCATTCCTGACCCCTGCATTTTGCTCCCTTGCTCCTTGCACTCTTTGTATTGCGCTCTTGACCCCTGATCGATATACACAATGGTGTGTATTTCATACCCCAGACCACTGCATTCTTTAAACTATATAGTACAACATCTGCCAGTTACTCAGTAGCAGGTTAGTTCTTCTTTAAGGTAGAAAAGCATCTGTAATGGAGTAGTTTCATTTTTTACATAATGATTATGCTGAGCTTCATAGGTATCTGTTAGACTTCTGCTTGTGGCACATAAATTAAATAATTGTTTGGTGGGTACAAGGACTGTTGTATGCAGTGAGTAGGCTCAAGTGTTACGCTCCTCCCATAGTTAGGCCTTGTGCTCACCACTTAACTTTTGTTCTCTGGCTACTCAGGCCTGAACCCCTTCCAGGAGAAAAAATATCTACAGCCATGGTTGGCGTTATATAAATCCTGTATAATAATAATAATCTTTAAAACTTTGGATTTCCCAGAACTTTCTGTCTCAGTGTTAATGGTTGCCACACCATTGGTATGGACATTCTACCCAGCAGGGTCACAGAAAGCGATAAAAACCTACCAGTTTTAACTACTATATTCAAAATTAGAAAACAAAAGTTTTGGTAAGAGATAAACGTTACATATAAATTTCAGGAGGTCTCAGCAGAACTGTGAGAACTCAATATAAAAGCACAATTTAAGATATGACATTTCATGGTGCCAGCTGTTCAGCATCAACCTGTATATATGCTTAGGAGCCTACTGCATCACAACGATGGAAACTATACTTTTAAAGGACTGCTCCCTTAAAGACATTGTACACTTTTTGTTGTTTTAACCAAGTATTAGTGCAATTATATTCGCTGTGTATTTTGTTTGCCTTACCGTAATGATGGGCTCACATATTATGGTTGCAGTTTGAGGTGCCATGTCTGATCAATTCCCCCTATGTCCGTGTATTCATTCACCTAGCTTGCCCCTATTTGTCAAAGAGAAAAGACAACTTCCTGTGCCTGTCCTGATCACTTAATGTCCAATCTAGTGTCACGTACCTGATAGAAGTCTGAATTGGCAAGGTCAGCCTCTCTTGTATCTCCTACCCAAGCCACACTGAAGGTGGAACAGATGGTGCCGAGGAACAGGAGGAACACAAGTGCCTGCGAATATTGATTGCAGAACTTGCAGCTGGAGGTGTAACCTCGGTAAAACAAGCAGGGCATCAGTCAGGAACAGAGGAGATGCTGGAACAGCCAACTGAGGTTAAGGAATCACTCCTCTGGAACTGTAAGATCTGGGTACGTGGCTTGCCGGAACTTCTGATAGGCGTGAGGCCGGGACACACTCTGACAACCGGAGCTGATGTAATAGATAGCCAGGACAAGCACACGGCAGGAGTGTAGAGCCAAACTGGAGTCGGAAGCATAGTCAGAGTAATAGCCAGGGTCAGCAACGAGCAGGCGATGAGGTACCGGAACATCAGACAGGGATGAGGTCAGGAGGAAGCCAGGATCAGAAACCGATGAGCAGAAGCATAAACAGGATCCAAGAGCAGGTCAATGGCAAGCCGGGTCAGTAACGGATACACACAGGATACAGCAGAACACGGAATTAGCTAAAGACCAGTCAGCACTGACAAAGAGTAAGAGCCTCCTTTTTATAGTCCCTCTGATGCCAGAAACTGTGGGTACACTCCCACATGCGTGCGCATTCTTGCAAGCACATTCTTGCGCACATGTGCGAACCTATGCTCATTTTTATTAGCAATGCGCCCGTGCTCATTTCTATGCACAATGTTGCGCGCATGTGCATTTCTATGCGCCAATCGCTATACAGGAATTCCCTTACACTATGTGTTGCCATCTACTCTATCACGTCACAAATGTGACGTGATAGAGTGCTAGTGTAATAAAAAAAACATCTTCTGGCTGCATGATGAGCTCTCTTTGTGTCTGTGAATGCTCTACCTGCTTGTGCCTGTGTCAGATCTAATTATTGTTTAGCTCTCACCTGCACCTGTTCTAGACCAAGAGACTCTGGGATCCTGTGATATGCAGTTTCTTCTTCAGAAGTGTCAGTTCTCACACTACAGACAGAGGTCTTGAATTAACCTGTGCAGTGCCATGTTGAACACAGACAGAAACTGCTGACACTGGAATGTGAAGATTTACTCTACCATAGGCTGTGTTTATAGCACAGCAAATGACAGAATGAAGCTGCATGATCAATGCACATCTTATGCAGGGGAAATATACAAGGTGCAAGTCGGAAGGTTTACAATGTTTTTAAAGAGAATTTGTAATGAGAGAATCATGAAGACTGCCGTTGCTGGGCTCTCCTTCTGAAAGCACTCCTTCTGGCTGTCATTCTGTTCCAATGACCTTAATATATTTTGAGTCATTGACCCAAAACAAGTAGGCAGATCAGAGTTCTGGTTGCACCCTGACATAACTTGCTACATTCTTATTCTGGTGGTTGACTAAAAATATTAAAGCCAAAAACTGCCAAGCTATCTGCATTTTCAAAAGTCGATCACCAATGGCAAATTGTACATATGGTTCCCAGGCTTTCCTTAACATACTTTGTTCATGTGCATACAAGAGGAAAACGTGCTGTGTATTGTTGCGGTACACTTCTAATGATTGGGTTTACTTGTGCAGACTTGTGTGTTCTATGGAGTAAATATATATGTTAGCAATGTAAATTGTGCGCGGAAAAACCCACGGGCTATAATTTCATAGGCAGCTGCTGATGCTGAAGCTTGCGGCCAGGAACAGGGCCATGAAAAGAAGCATGTTTGTGAACATATGGTGTGCTCATACATCATGGTTGTAAGACTAAGGAGTGAGCAAAAATGAAAAATCCTTTTTTTTTAAAGGGATACTCCAGTCTAAATAATAATATATGGATTTATAAGGGAGTTATGATATCTATTTTCTTGCTCTGGCACAGTAATAGTCAATCTTGTCTCATTTTTAATATTCCTCATTCTTGCTTTCAACCATGGTTCCTTGAAAGTCTAGGGTTTCTACTAAGGTTTGTAGGGGCTCCTTGAGATATGAACAATGGTGAATTGTTATCCCACGTACACTGATCATCATGTATGGAAGACAGGATTATTACTAAAACACAGAGCAGTGGGTGGGTGCAACGGGATGCAGCGGCATCAAAGACACAGAGTCCAGTTACAGGTAAACTCAGGACCAGGGGCGGACTGACAACTCATGGGGCCCACGGGCAATAGGGGATCATGGGGCCCCTGTGTCCTTGCCCAAACTCAAAAAAGCCTATGAAATAGGTACCAGGGGCATCTCATGGGGCCCCCTACTGACCCCGGGCCCTCGGGCACTGCCCGAGTTTCCAAATGGTCAGTCCGCCCCTGCTCAGGACTTGTATTGCACAGAATGCCAACTACAAATAACCCCAGCGGGAAACCACCACTTAGGGTAAGACTCACAGTTCAGTTCAAGGTAGAGAGGCGGCAGGTAAAAAGGCACTCACAGCTTCGTTCTTCAGAGGGCAGAATGCGGTCTGACGGTCCAGTCCCAAAAGGGAAGATGCAACGCAGGCTTGTGAGTTCCTATCCTGAACCTACTTGTCTTGAACCTTTCTCTTCCACTATCACTTTCCCTGACAGTTGGATGCTCTTTCCCTACTCTATCCACTTCACAGAATGAGTGCCAAAACCTGGGACCAGGGACTTACAGAAACTCTGCTGACCTAAAGATGGCTACCAAGGGTCACCTGGATGCAGCATAGCCAACCGGAATGCTGCCTCCAGGGACCAGGAAACCACAGAGAGATCAAGTTTCCCTTGACTTCCTCTCCAACCTGTGATGCTGCTCCAGTTGGGCATCACCTAGAGTGGAGAAAACAGATTGCACCTGTCTACAAGTATACACATTTTTCCTTTTTTTCTGTATAGATCTATGTTTGCCGAATAAAAATTTTTTATTAATATGAAAATTATTTTGTTGTATAAAGCAGGGGAATGATTAAAAAATCTGCCTTGCGTGTTTCATATACTAGGTAGGCCACATTCTTTATTCTGTTATTTATGATCATGCTAATGTACTGTGAGCTGTAAGTTTTATTTATTTTTAGCAAGGGGTCCCCAAGATATAAAATGTATTGAGAAAGGGTTCCTCCAAGGTAGGAAGGTTGTTCTTCACATTTGTGTAAAGAAGTAACAGGTCCCTCCCAAGTGAAGCCATGCGTGCTGATCTCAGTATCTACTGTACAGAACAGATGCAGCTATGGATCTGCAATCAAGAGTTCCATAATCCTTTCTGTAACTGTATGTAGATGGCTTGTTTTCCACTAGCCACATCAGTACTGGTATTTTGTACCTTCTTCCTTTCCAGGCCATTTTTCAGTTTTCAGTGCTATGAAACTTTGACTAAAATATACATATATAACAGTCGTGCAATACTGCACCAAAATAATTTTTCAAATATCATTTTTTTAGACAGATTTATTTAGGTGATACTTAATAACTACTGGATTTTTAACAGTTTACTATAGAAAAGAAAGAATTACTATAAAAATATCAAATAAAAATGGTAGGACAGTATGAGAACACCCCAAATGACCACCTTTTCAGAAAGTAGCCCCCCTCCAAGGTGTTTCCATGCTGTCTTTGAGTTAATTAAATGAGAAATGCAGTTACACACAAAACTAAATAATATTTATGTAAAGTTGTAAGAATAGTTATTAAACCTGGTTCCTTGAATGGTCAATAACTACCTCCCTTATTTCATGGCTGGAAATGGCTGTTCTACTCAGAGGAACCATGTGGCTTGCTTGTGGCTTCTGCAGCTCTTGATTTTCAGCAACCCCCTGAACTTAATTTTTACATTTTAAAAATACATTGCCCAACATTTCTTAAAGCCAAAGCTTTTGTTGTAATACTCCATTCTATCAGCACCGCCCCCGTAACCTTACCACAGAAGGATCTAGCTGTCATATACTTTGGTTGGAGGCCAAGCTGACAAGAGGGCTCTGGTCCAAGCACCCTTGAATGTGGTGACAGAGGTACAGGGCTCAAAGAAGCATGGGTGCCAGTAGCTTGGTAGCAGGTGACTGCTGCTGTAAAGAGACATTGTCAAAGTGAGCCAGGGTCATACACAGTGTAGGCTGAGGTTAGTAACAGGGAAGCAAGCACAGCAAGGTCCAGTAGCAGGCTGAGGTCAGTACCAGAGAAGCAGGCAGAGAATAGCATAGTATAGGCAGAGGTCAGTATCCAAAATCCTCAGATCAAGGTGAGGAACAAGCCAAGTCAGCAATGGGAAATCAGTCAGCAAAAGTAGGGACACAGGAACACGGACCACGGGGAAGCTGAAGAACATCCTTCAATTAGCACACACTTGGGTCTCCATTAAATAGGCAACTTGGTGCCAATACGTGTGTACATGTGTGAATAGGAAATCAAGGACCTATCCTCTTGTGATTGTGTCATCAACCTTACGTCATTGCGTGAACACCAATCTCCATGACATTCAGGACCACCCAAAGCTGGAGAATAATAAGCACCTTTGACACCATCTGACTGGACCAAAAAAACATAGAAAAAAGCTATGCATGCAAAATAAATTTTCAAAAAGATGGGTGGCATGTGAAGATGGATTTTACCTTATATTTGCTTTTTGTTTTTGAATGAAGAGTTTGTGAGAAAAGACATTACCTTTAGCAGCAAATTCAACTGTGAAATGATGCAGATCCTATAGACAGGACTTCAGCTAGTAATTACACAGAGTGCAGTCTGAAATACCAGTGGACCCCAACCCCGACAACAAACATATGTAATTGGAAACAAACCGTTGGCTGCAAGGAACTTCAGTTCAAGAACTACTGCAGCCCACAATCAAAAAGTAATAGCAAATTGCACAACACAATTCTTCCACAAAATTGGCCGTAGAAACAAGTCCCAATGCACCAGGTGTACACCCCCATATGACTCACTCTTACACCTATTATGGAGATGCCCCAAGTTCACTTGATACTGAAAAGGAGTGATCTCCACACTAAATGATTTGTACAGTATTGCCCTAACACCTGACTCTATGCTAGGCATTTAGGGGTATGTTGATCCTGACCTGTATGATCCTATCTTATCCTTAGCAATTATTAGAGCTCTCTTTATTGCAAGGACGCTGATAGCCTCTAAATGGGTGCCTACTACCCCACCAACTATAACAGATTGAATTTCTGATATGAATACATTTGTACTGTTTGAGAAGCATGTGTATCTCTTCTGTAATGCTCCATGCACATTTGATGCAATATGGTCTAACTTCATAGAAGCGATGTGCCCATATGTGCTGAATAGTCACCATTCCTATCCTTGTTTTTCAGATATGTAAGTAAAGTATTTGGCCGCTAATAATTTTCCCCATGTTTTGTGCTGCACACAAATACCCTCCCCTGTGCCTGTTGGTCTTGTTGACTATTCTGCTGCCCTGGCAGCTTGTTTTGCTGTCTCTGTGTTAAAAAAAAACTACCAAAAAACCTTCCGAAAAACATTTTGATTGAAAAAAACAAGAAATAGCAGGTGCACATACCAGTAACTTGAGGATATGTCATTGAGTAGTGTTTTTTTGGCATGACCAACTTAAAGTAACTGAAACTAAAAATCCCCAAAAATAATCATTCAGTACACACTCTCGCCCTATACTTACGATTTTCCATGCAGTACTCTAGCGAATCTGGTGACAAACCAAGCTTTGCCTCTTTTTTCCCAGGTGGTGGGTAATCGATAGCTTGGGCTCAGGTAACATGGGTTGTTGAATGATGCTTGCTGTCATTCCACCTAAACGGGACTGAAGGGGACTGGCAGCACTGGATGGAAGAAGATGCTTGGAACAATGCTGGAGCATAGAGAAGGTAAGTAGAGCTTGGACACTTTTATTAATACAATCCCAATAAAAAAATACATTCTGAAGTTCCGCTTTACAAAGTGAATTCTAGTCCAAACTTTTTTTTTAATGGTTTAGATAGCATTGGGAAGGTTTAGAACCTCTATCATGGTCTTTGTTGTTGTCACAAACATAGAGACTTTACTGTACTATCTGTCTTCAGAGATGCAATAGGAAGTACAGTGCCTTGAAAAAGCATTCATACCCTTTGAAATGTTCCATGTTCCATGTTGTCATGTTACAACCAAAAACATAAATGTATTTGATTGGGATTTTATGTGATAGACCAATACAAAGTGGCATATAATTGTGAAGTGGAAGGAAAATGATAAATGGTTTTCAACATTTTTTTCAAAGAAATATGTGAAAAGTGTGGAGTGAATTTGTATCTAGCCCCCTTTATTCTGATACCCCTAACTAAAATCTAGTGGAACCAATTGCCTTCAGAAGTCACCTAATTAGTAAATAGAGTCCACCTGTGTGTAATTTTATCTCAGTATAAATACAGCTGTTCTGTGAAGCCTTCAGAGGTTTGTTAGAGAACAATAATGTACAAATAGCATCATGAAGGCCAAGGAACACACCAGACAGGTCAGGGATAAAGTTGTGAAGAAGTTTAAATCAGAGTTAGGTTATAAAAAAATATCCCAAGCTTTGAACATCTCACGGAGCACTGTTCAATCCATCATCGGAAAATGGAAAGAGTATGGCACAACTGTAAACCTACCTGCTGTTCACAGACGCTCTCCGTCCAATCTGACAGAGCTTGAGCTGTTTTGCAAAGAAGAATAGGCAAAAATGTCCCTCTCTAGATGTCCCTCTCTAGATGTGCAAAGCTCGTAGAGACATCCTCAAAAAGACGTGGAGCTGGAATTGCAGCGAAAGGTGGTTCTACAAAGTATTAACTCAGGAAGGCTGAATACAAATGCACGCCACACTTTTCACAGATTTAATTGTCACAAATGTTAAAAAACATTTCTCATGTTCCTTCCGCTTCACAATCATGTGCCACTTTGTGTTGGTCGTTTACATAAAATCCCAATTAAATACATTTAAGTTTTTAGTTGTAACATGACAAAATGTGGAAAATTTCAAGGGGGATGAATACTTTTTCATGGCACTGTAAGTGGAAATCTTCTCCAAATCAGAGGAGTACCCTGACTGTCTTTCCTCGTGGCAACGTTGCTCTGGGCAAATAGATCTTTCCCATGAACACACATATAGCATTATTCCTCTCATAAGTTCTATCCCTTGCCAACTCTATCTAAAACTAGAAAAAGATTTGTCTGTAGGTATACTTTACCAGAAACCCATACTTTGCTTTAAACTGGGAAATATTCCACATTTACAGCTTTCTGCATCCACTATTGTATCTATTATTATATGTCTGGTGGTAGTATTTGACAGGTGGTAGTCAGATTATTCAGCCCTACCTCCCTCCCACACGCTAAGGGGTGTCAGAGGTCTCTAATGCATTTTCATTGCAGACACATACTGGATTCCTGGGTATC